CTCTTTTATAAATGACTTTGCTGCTCTAATCGCCCATCTCTCAGCTCTTTCACCCAACATTATTCTGCTGGGAGACTTCAACATTCATATGGATGAAGACAACAACCCCCTCACCAGAGACTTCACATCCTGCCTCGACAGCTGTGGCTTCCAGCAGTTCATTAACTTTCCAACCCACATAAAGGGCCACACTTTGGACTTATTATGCTGCTCTGGACTCTCTCCTCTTAACTGTTCTTCTGATGAACTTCCATTTACTGATCACCTCATGATTTAATTCAGTGTCAAAATTAAATTTTCTTCAGAGAAACCTCAACGCACTCTTTCCTTCCGTAATATTAAGAATATCAACCATGACATTCTTTTGTCTCATATTAACAATACCTTCTTCACCTTCAATTCTTTTAACCCAGATGACCTTGTCACATTCTACAATAACAGCCTCACCAACATTCTTAACTCTGTCGCTCCTCTGAAAACCCGGTCTGTCTCCTTCTCCAAGTCTGCACCCTGGTTCACTCCAGAACTCCGTTCTCTGAAATCCAAAGGTCGGAGGTTGGAGCGACTCTTTAAGAAATCCAGTCTCTCAATTCACAAGGAACTCTATGTGAACCACGTCATCCAGTATAAGAACAGTATTTCTCAAGCCAAATCCAGCTACTTCTCTGACATCATCAGTTCCAATGTTGGCAATTCAAAGACTTTGTTCTCTCTCCTTAACCGTTCAGTCTCATCTCCTAACTCATTACCCTCTCACATAGTTTCCACAGAATTTTGCAACTCTCTGATGTCTTATTTCAATGAAAAGATTATTTCAATTCATAAACACCTTGGACCAAATACCGCCCCCAGCATCTATGTTGAACTCCCCCCTCCCTCCCTCCCCTTCTCTGTCTTCTCCCTCCCCTCTGCTCATGACATTGCTGACATTATCAGCAAGTCTAAGTCCTCATCCTATCAGCTCGATCCATTTCCCACAGTTCTTGTTAAATCCTGTCTCCCGTCTCTGCTCCCCATCATCACTAACATCATCCACTCCTCCCTAACCTCTGGCATTGTTCCCACAGCTTTCAAATCTGCGGCCATCACCCCCATCATCAAGAAACCAGGTCTTGACTTTACCAACTTCAGTAATCTTCGTCCAATCTCTAATCTGCCCTTTATTTCCAAAGTTCTTGAAAAAGCCGTTGCTAGTCAACTTCACTCTCACCTATCATACAATAACATTTATGAAGAGTTTCAATCTGGTTTTCGCCCCCACCATAGCACCGAAACAGCTCTAATAAAAATAACTAATGACCTTCTTCTTGCTGCTGACTTTGCTCTTTTTTCTATCCTCATTTTACTTGATCTAAGTTCTGCCTTCGACACAATCTGTCATTCTATCCTCCTCAACAGACTAACCTCCATTGGAATCTCAGGTACTCCGTTAGACTGGTTCAAATCATATCTCTCTAACTGCACTCAATTCATTCAGCTCAAATCCTTTCGTTCCCAGTCTTCCCCCGTCTCCACGGGTGTCCCCCAAGGCTCTGTCCTCGGACCCCTCCTCTTCATCATTTACCTCCTTCCTCTAGGTCACATCTTCCGTAAATTTGGTGTCCATTTTCACTGTTATGCTGATGACACACAGCTCTACTTGTCAACAAAACCAAACTCCACCCACCCACCCTCCATCCTCACGGACTGTCTCAATGAGCTAAATCACTGGTTTTCTAACAACTTCCTACAACTAAACAGTAACAAAACAGAAATCATTCTTGTCGGTACCAAAAACTCTCTTTCAAAATCAGAAAATCTTCTCATCCCCCTTAACAACTCTCTGCTATCCCCCTCGCCTCAGGTCAAGAGTCGTGGTGTCATCCTCGACACCACTCTCTCCTTCACTTCACACATCAACAATGTCACTCGGTCTGCCTATTTCCATCTCCGAAATATTAACCGTCTCCGCCCTTCTCTCATACCCCACTCCACAGCCATCCTTGTTCACAGTCTTGTGACTTCTTGGATTGACTACTGCAACTCCCTTCTTTATGGCCTCCCCAACAAATCTCTCCAGAAGCTGCAATTGGTCCAGAACTCAGCTGCCCGTGTCATCACTCAAACCTCCTCCTATAACCACATCTCTCCAGTCCTGCAGCAGCTCCACTGGCTCCCAGTTAAATCACGCATCATCTTCAAAATTCTTCTTCTCACTTTCAAAGCTATCCACAGTCTTGCCCCTCCGTACCTACAGTATCTGACCTCATACACATCTCCATCCCCTCTCGCTCTCTCAGATCTTCCTCTTCACTAAACCTCCATGTACCCTCTGCCTGCCTCTCCACCATGGGGAGAAGGGCCTTCACCTGCTCTGCCCCTCATCTCTGGAACTCTCTACCCCCGACTTAAGAAACACCACTTCTCTTTCTATATTCAAGACTGCTCTGAAAACACATCTCTTTAGACTCGCTTATCCTTAACTTTGCGGTATGTATTTTATATTCTTTATGCATTTTATATTCTGTATGTAATTTATTCCTGTTGATCTTTGTTCTTACTGTAAAGTGTCCTTGGGTGTCATGAAAGGCGCTTTTTAAATAAAATGATTATTATTATTATTATTATTATTATTATTATTAGGTAAAATTATTAAACAGCATGGGATAAATTTTCATTGTTATGCTGAAAACACACAATTATATTTGTCCATTAAACCCAATGAATCCTATCAGCTACTTAAACTACAAGCATGTCTTAGGGTGCATTCACACCAGCCCTGTTTAGTCCGCTTTAATCAAACTCAAGCTTGTTTTCCTAGAAAGTCCGGTTTGTTTGGGGAGGTGTGAACGCGCCATCGAATTCTGTCACGGAACAAAAAGACGAACTCTGGCCCGGGCTAAAACCTAGGTCTCGGTCCGATAGAAGAAAACTCCAGCGCGGTTCGAGTATAGTGTGAATGTAAACAGACTGGACCCGCTCCACAGGACAAACAAACACGCATTTCTCTGACCTTATATGGGGCCGTCAGCTACCTCGTGTGGAAAAACAATATTCTCCATGGTCTTCTGACTCATCTTCTGCTCATGCTAAGTCCATTTGTGAAAAATGACAAAATATAACTCCTAAAACTCCTAAAACTTGATGCCACTTCGTTTTTGTTTTTATTTACAGAAGAAGAAGACGTGTCTTCAGAGGTTTTTGTGTCATTTCTTTCAGTAGTTCTTGGTGCAGCGCCCCCACAGGCGAGCGGGGGAATTGGTTGGTTCAACAGGTTGACTCGACTGCACAGTGCAGTGTGAATGCAAACGCACCAGCTCAAATGTAAACAAAAGGTTATGAATATTGGTCCAGAACCGAACCGAGTCTACCGGACTACCTGGTGTGAAAACGACCATAAAGACATAAAAACCTGGATGACCCTTAATTTTCTCCTGTTGAACACAGACAAGACTGAGGTTTTGGTTTTTAGACCTAAGCACCTTAGGAATTAATTTTTCAGTCTTTCTCCCTCCTTAGATGACATTAGTCTGTCCTCCTGTTCTAATGTTAAAATCTTGGTGTTATTTTTGTTCAGGACATGTCTTTTATCCCCCACATTAAAAACGTTACTAGAACTGCCTTCTTCCATCTGCGTAATATCACTAAAATCAGAAACATCTTATCTAAAAATGATGCAGAAATATTGGTTTGTCACGTCTAGACTGGACTATTGCAATGGTTTATTATCTGGATGTCCAAATACTTCCTTAAAATGTTTTCAGTTTACCCAAAATGCTGCTGCTAGAGTCTTAACTGGAGTTAGTAGGAGAGATCATATTTCTCCAGTTTTAGCTTCTCTCCATTGGCTCCCTGTCAAATCCAGAATAGAATTCAAAATCTTACTTCTAACCTACAAAGCTCTCAACAACCTGGCTCCATCTTATATTACAGATCTTATTGTTCCATATTTTCCTAACAGAGCACTTCGCTCTCAGACTGCAGGTTTACTTGTGGTTCCTAGAATTTACAAAAACAGAATGGGAGGCATATCTTTCAGTTATCAGGCACCTCTCTTGCAGAACTAACTTCCAATCTCTGTCCGTGAGGCTGACACATTATCCAGTTTTAAAACTGGGATTAAGACTTTCCTTTTTGCTAAATCCTATAGTTAGGGTCGGCTTGGGTTTCCTGAGCTGTCCCTTAGTTATGCTGCTATAGGCTTAGACTGCTGGAGGCCAAACTGACCACAGTTTCACTTTGCTGCTGACTTTACTTACTCTGCTCAGCCTGTTTTGCATTTGTAATTTTTTTTTCTATCCTTAACATGTGTTTTTTTGTCTTTCAGATACACCTGGACCTACATCTGGACCTACCATTCTATGTTCGTCTGGCTCTCCTTCCTGTCCGCTCAAACTAGCCAGTTGAAGCAGATGGCTGCTTGTCCTGAGCCTGGCTCTGCTGGAGGTTTCTTCCTTTTAAAAGGGAGGTTTTCCTTTCCACTGTTGCCTCTGTGCTTGCTCAGGATGGGAGACTGCAACGAAGCCAAGATTCAACTTGTCTGCTGGATTTCTTAGATAGAGAACTTTACTAATTGGCTTTTATGTATGTGAATGTTCCTGTAAAGTGCCCTGAGACAACTTTGTCGTGATTTCCTGAGACAACTTTGTCGTGATTTGGCGCTATATAAATAAACTGAATCCCGGATGACCGCCAGAGGGCGGTGCTGAAAGCACTGAATGTTCCCTTCGCGCTTGCGCTGTTCAAGTAATAATACCAACAAAGTCACAAGTGTGACACGGATGGCCAATCAGAGGCTATATACCCTGGCGTCATCCGTGACTCTGTTCCTACAGAATCTTTTCGCAGAATGCAAGGATTCTGAGGGACAGAGAAGCTATGGCGGTCATCCGGGATTCATAGAACCATAGTTACATACGTCACTTTTGTTCTATTTCATCCCTTCTGACCGCCAGAGGGCAGTGCTGAAAGCATTGAATGACTAATACCAATGATGTCACAAGAAATCCTGAGCACACACCTCACTGAGGAGGCCCATAGGACCCTTGTAGAAGGCCCTGTCCCAGGAGATGAGGGGTGGCCACGTTATCCCTGTAAAATCTGGTGATGTGCTTGGAGAAGGCCATGATGCGGCAGCACATATTGCTTCCACCAGAACCCCTCTCAGGGCAGCCCAGGAAGCGGACACCTCCTGGTAGAATGTGCCTTCATGCCGATCGGCAGGGGGCAGTGCCCTGTGGCATAGACTAGAGGATGACACAGGAGTAGATTTTCACTCCTGTCCTGTCCTGGTCCAACAGAAAAAATCCTGTCCTGTCCCAATCCTGGTCCAGAGTAATGTAGATGAACAGATGCTCAGATATATTCATCAATTAACACGGATTCCTCATTTTTCTGAACTGAATAAAACGTGCATTGAATTTAATGAAATGCAAACGTGAGATGTCATTTATCTTTGACCCATCAAAATGAATGCGGTCATTTATTTACAGAATCAAAGTTTAACATCAAACATTTACATTAATTTGGCAAACTATGAAAATAACAACATAAGCAATCAATCAGGAAAAATCATACGGCCATGATTTTTCCGTTGCTTCACCACAGACATTTATGAAAACTGTACAATTATGATCTTTTACCCACACTGCGGTGGATGAGCACTTTACACAGACATTTCTAAATATCTGGAAGAATTTCTACTTGAGAGAGGAGTTTAAAGATGGGAAAGAAGTTTAAAGAAGAGTAAAAGATGGGGTTTGAGGGAGTGTTGAACAGAACGGCACTCTCCGGGCTTTCTTCAGCTTCTCCCTTACAGTACACTTAGGTGGTGAAATCGACTCTTTTACCTGGAGATGTCTCAGGCGAGATTCCGTTTAACGCACCCTTCAGCGTCTCCGTAGGATGCTGTTACTCGTCCGGAGTAGCGGCGAGATTCTGTCCGCCACAGCTCACCTCAGTGAAGATGTTATAATCCCATGAAACTCGGAAGAGCTCTGTTGTCATGTCAGGATCTTCCCGGCTCACAGAACTGAACAGAGACCCAACTCCCACAGAACTGAACTCTCACAGCTCTCACAGAACTGACAGAACTGTGTATCCAACAGAACTCCAACAGAACTGAGTAGACCAGGAAGTACCGACATTTTAAAGAGCTCTTTTCCCGGTTCATTCGGGAGTCTCCCCATTGGCCAGAACCGACCAGACGGGGTGTGTTTTGTGACGTAAAAGGTTAGAAGGCAGCAAGAATTGTTATGGAACAGATCAGAAATGTTCTCACAGACAGAGAGAGTTTTGTTTTGGCGAGTTTAAGAAACAGGTGCCAAAACCCCCCTGTTGACGTCTGAGAGGATATAAACAGGACAGTTGTTCCAACACATGTCTGCTTCAACTCCTGACCCTGGAAACGCACACTTGCTCATTCAAAGGCAGAAATCAGAAAATGCATAAAAATCTGTAACAGACCTCAACATGAATTCTAACTTTGCATGAGAATTAAAAATCATTACACAGTTAATAAAATTGATTAGTTCACTGCAACATCTAAAATGGTTTGAACTAAGACACTTTGATTATCAACATTTGTAAAATAGTAATGATAATAAAAAGAGAGTGTTCTTTCACTTGAATTTTCAAGAAAGAGAGTCTCAGGATGGGTGAACCTGTATTTCTGGATTCAAATCAATGAAATGACAGTTCCTGTCCCACAAGGTTCTTAAGGTCAAGAGTTTTGACCTTAGGCTAAGTTCACTACAGTAAAAAAAATAATCCTGTCCTGTCCTGCTCCTGGTAACATGACTCCTGCTCCTGTCCTGCTCCTGGTCAGAATCACTCCTGCTCCTGTCCTGCTCCTGTTTTTTTTCCTCTTCATTTAATTTTTAAGAAATGCATTGAATTTGAATTGATTTTCTAACCATTCCTTTTTAAATTACTTTGTGTTCTGCAGTTTGATTTCAAAAGATATGGCAGGAAGAGTTAATCTGTGGTGAAATATGGAGGCATTTATTGCCTTAATTCAAACAAAAACCTTCACTAAAGGTCACAAAACAAATCCATGGCCTGTAGTCCTTATAGTTTTTCTACAGAGGATCAGCTGCTGAGTCCCTGTTTCTGGCTTTTTTGAAGGTCAGTTACAGTAAAAACAAAAAATGAAAACCAGTACATGGGTCACACCATGTCTACCTTAGATGAAAGAACCCAAACAGAACAAATAGAAGTTGCTTTTTACTAATTAATTGAGCAATTGTTTCCTTCCCTTTAGACAGTAACGTTCCTGTCATGGTTTAAATTGCTTAAATAAAAAACTAAACAAAAAAATTGCACCAAGCAAACTGTCATCAATGAACAAAACTGCATAAAGGCATTACATTCATATTGTACCTGAGTTTTTGAAAAAGGAAAAAAAATGTGCATATAATGCAAATACTAAATAAAAATACAACTGCCATATATATATGGTGGTTGACTGGTGCAAATGTGCTGCAAACAACTACACACACAGTAATACTACAGTGGTCAGCAGGTGCAAACTGCTAACATGCTGCAAACAGTCAGCTACTGCACACACAGCTAACAGTTAAAAAGCATTGCAAACGCATAAATGATGCAAACTCTAAAACAACAACAAAAACAAAACAAATGCAACAGAAAAATGCAGCGAAAGAAAAAAACCTGCAATTACAGAAAATAAAACATACAACCCAAAAAACAAGTGCAAAGGAAAATGCTGAAAAGTACTCTACTCCGAGCACATTAAACTCATAAAATAAGCCAACTTTGGGCCAGTTGCCACTCAGCTGTAATGTGTTTGCAGGGTTCTGTTGACCAGACCAGCAGTTGTTTTGGTGTTATTTGTATTTGAAGCATTTTTCCTTTGCATTTGTTTTTTTTTTTGATTGTGTGTCATCTATTTTCTGTGACTGCAGATTTTTGTTTCTGTTGCATTTGTTTTTTTGTTTTGGAATTTGATTCATTCCTGTGTTTGCAGCACGTTTTAACTGTTTGCTGTGTGTCTGTCAGCCACCGTGCATATCAGTCTACTTTCCCACTCTTCGGCACATATGAATAGTTGTCGTTATAAATTGCTATGTAGGAACAAAAGTTCATCTACATTTTCTGGATTGAGGGTGGAACGCCTCTCCTCAATCAGTCTCCCAGCAGCACTGAAGCTACGCTCAGAAGGAATGCTTGTTGCTGGGATTGCTAGCAGCCTCTTGGCAACTGGCACTAGCCCATCAGACCTCTCATGCCAGAAGTTGAGCAGAGACTGGAAGCCTGTCAACTTAGAGTCACTCATGTACTGTACCACGAACTGGCGGCCCCATGACTCTGAAATACCACCACTGTCCCACTCCTGTTGCTGCTTTTCAACACAAAAGGAAAAGAAGTCGTGCACCTCTGTGGGACTGGGAACTGCCTCTCGGGGTGGACCTTTGGAGAGAAAAAACAACAAAAAAAAAGAGATTCTTATAGAACATTACCTGTATTGGACATTACCTATTAGATTATACAGACGTGTGTGTGAATGAATGCCTCTAAATAAATGATAGGAAGAAATGTTATTACATTTTAGAATTGCTGTGAGTGCTCTGTTGATGCTAGTTTTACTCACCCTGTTTCTTCTCAAGGCTTCTCGCTCTCTCCTCTGTCCCTGCTGTTTCTGTGAGTGCTGCCAGGGTGTTGATGACCTCCTCATACTCCTGACCGGAGAGCGTTTTCCTCAAGAAACTCCTCAGGCTAGGAGAGAGAGCTGTGGCTAGCTTATGGTACAGGTGGATTTTGAATTTCAACTCCACTGCCTGGGCCATCTTCTCTTTCAGCTAGAGGAGGAGTGAAACCACATGATGACACATGCAGTGATATGATAATGATGTATGCAACATCATTATTACGGGACATAAAAAATTCTCAGGTGGACAGGCACTGTGCTTTATTTTAGGCGTGGAGAAGTTTTAAATTTATTTCAAATTTAACTTGTACAATGTTTCTTTTGGACAACATCAGACTCAGTTCTGTTCTTGCCTTTATCATTGTTGTTGAATAGGGCCAAACTCCTGTTAGCTACTTGAATGATCAAACTAAACAATAAAAATAAACAAAGTATTAAATTACCTCTTTCACAATTGCACTATCTCCATCCTGGATCAACAAACCCTGCAGCAGGGTTGCCTTGGTTGGGAGGACGAGGTGAAGAGCAGGTGCCTGATGGATGGAGAGGTGCCTGGTAGCCTCATCAAAAGGTTTCAGGAGCTGGATGACGTCCTCAAGAAGGTCACAGTCTATGTTGTTGAGGTAACGGAGCTCGCTTCTGCGAAGCAGGATGTCGTGCAGCTTACCAGACTTGAGAGCATCATTTATTGACTGGAGCATGGCAAGTCTGGTGTTCCACCTCGTCTCCACAGCTTCAGTGACTGGTCCAGTGCTTTTTGTAACCTAAAATTGAAAGAAGACCGTGCACAAGTCAAAATAGGGTTACTGGGACTATAAAAATTGCAACTTGTTGGCCTTTCTTTTGGAAAAAATATTTTATTAAAAAAAGAGCTTTACAACTGAAACTAAGTCAAGAAAATGTGACCTTTGCAATTATAAATTACAGTACCTCAATTTTTCTTTATTTATTTCACTTATCATATTTTATGATTATTTAAGCAGCCTCACCAGGCAGAGATGACAAGATTTGATGTATCTTACCCTGCCCTTTTGAAATGTGTGACTAGGGTCTTTGCGTCCTTAAACAGCTTGATGACGCTGCTGTGTACTGGGTTGTCCTCATCCAAGTGGTCAAATACGTGTTTTAAGATCAAGTTGATATTATGGAGAGCCGCACATAATCCTTGAAAGCAGCGATCATGTTTGAGCCATTATCTGTCACAAACACAGTGTGCTTGCTCAGGATGCCAAATTCCTGTTGGGTAAAAAAACAAAACAAAGACAAACCAAAAACTTAGCAAATAAGAAGACCAGACATATGATAATCATTAAACAGATTGATCAACAGTCATGTAATTGTACGAAGCACTTTTCAATAAATTTATAGTACTACATTAGGACAAAACATATTACACATATTACACATGTGTTGTGTATCAAATGAAGGAAAACTCCATCTGCAATTAAGGTAAAATACTATGGTAATCTGCCTAAGTTGCTGCCTACCACGGCACAGACTGATGTACAGCGAAGGACCGTGACACACGCTTACTGATGTAGAAGAACATATATCTGTGATATATTATCCATAAATTAAACGGATTCTTTCATTTTTCTGGACTGAATAATATCGTGCATTGAATAATTAAATGTAACGTGAGACGTTAATTTTCTTTGACCCATCAAAATGAATGCGGTCATTTATTAACAGAATCAAAGTTTAACATCAAACATTTACATTAATTTGGCAAATTGATTTCAACAACAACATAGCTTAGTTAGCAAGCTTTACAATTAGAAAACCATACGGCCATCAATTAGAAAACCATACGGCCATTTCTGAAAATATCCGGATGATTACTGGCAAAATAGAAGAGTTTTAAAGATGGAAAATGAAGTTTATCTGGAGAGAGATGGGTGAGGGAATTTGTCTGTTATAACCAGAACAACACGCTCCTTTGGACCCAGCTTAACCAACGGTACACTTTGCGGTTGAAGATCGACTCTTTTACCTTTGCAGACGATAGTTCGGCCTCGGTGTAGAGTTCTCTTTCAACGCTTTCCAGCGTCTCCGTAAGGATAGTAGGGAACCGTTCGGAGTCGTGAGATCATCCCAGAACAGACTTCTTCATAGTTCCTCTGAACTTCTCTCGTTCAGCTTAGTTGCCGTTGTTCTCCAGCATTCTGAACTCTGCATTCTCTCTCCACACTCTACTGGAACTAGGAAGTGTTGAACCTTTTAAAGAGGTCACTTCCGGTTCCTCTGAGAGCTTCCTGATTGGTCGATACGAACCAACAGGGTGTGGTCTTAGTGATGTAAGAGGTTATTAAAAGTCAAGAGAAAAAGATTAGATTGTTTAAGAACAGACAGAAGATGTTTTGAAGAACCCGAGACTTCGTGGAGTCAATTCTCTCATATCTGTCTGAAAAAGTTAAACATGACATTTCTTTCCAGTAAACTTGTAGTTGACCGAAACTTGACCTTTGACCAACTTACACTTGCTCGTTTCAGACAGAAGATCAAGAAAATGAATAATTACTCTTGTAACAAACATTAAAATGATTTCTACTTTGAATGAGGATTAAAAATCATTAATACTGTTTCACAGTTGATTTAAAATGAGTAGTTCACTTCAACATTTAAAAATGGTTTGAACTAAACACACTTTTGATTATCACGACATTTGTAAAATAGTAATGATAATAAAAAAGAGAGTGTTCTTTCAATTGATCAGTGCAGGACACTTAGAAAGTCTTTGGATGAACTTAATTTTGTGTTTCTGGACTCAAATCAATGAAATAACTGTTCTTGTCCCAGGAAGGCCCTCCGGGCCAGATTTGACCTGAGGCTTAGTTCACTACACTGATGCACTTATTTATATTCCAGGTTAGTCTGCTCCTGCAACCTGGAACACCTTTCAGCAGGAACTGAAGTTGTCCACCTTAATTTATTGTGAGGGGTTTTAAACATTTCATAATGCCAATAGAAATCTCAAAGCAAATATATTCTTGTTTTTAGTATTTTACATTTTTTATGGCACATTGATTTATTTTTTAGACACTACTTTTATTTTAACTGCATTTTTACTGTAGTTTATCATTATTATTGTTCACTGTTATTGTTGTCTGTACTTTATATGTTCTGTCTGTCTGGATTGGAACAGGTCTCTTGAAAATGAGTCCTCGTGACTCAATGAGGTTAGCCTGTAAAGGTTGAATGAAATATATATATATATTTGTCTTTTCTATTGTTCCTTCTGTGACATGTTCTTGTTATTGCTGCACCATGTTCTCATACTTTTCCCAATTTTACGAATTAATTGGCAATATTTATTGCATATGGACTGTACTTATATAGTGCCTTTGTCTTATTTCAAGACACTCAAAGCGCTTTACACTACAATCTGTGCCTCATTTACCCATTCATACAGCTCTATACTAGACCTCTACAAAGCTAATATGCCATGTAAATAAAGATAATTATCTCATTTGAGTGTGAGATACCTGAAGGATTTTCTCCACAGTCCCTCTGATGTGTTCATTAGATTTGACACCCTCCATCTCCCTTGTGGCCAGAATACGGTTCACCATCTTCCCATCCAAGATGTAATGGACTGTAACGGTGATGTAGTGTGTGTTTGTCCTCTCCTCTGTCCAAAGGTCTGTCGTGATTGCATGGTCTCTAGTCTGCACCAAAGGAATTACGTATATTGTTATTATCTCTCAAAGTATATTACATGTAAAACAGATGACTAATTTATAGCTGAGAGATTAAGCAGTTTAAAATGAGGAGAAAAAACAGATTTAGTGTTAGGAAATCTATAATTATAGCATGATGTCAAGGTAAAATGTTTGTACTGTATTATATATATATATATATATTTATTTATTTATTTTTTTTAAATAACAGCGAGAGTGCCCTATACTTTGTACTGTATTATAAAATAGTGCAGCGTGACAGACATACCTGATGGAGCTCTTCCATGACCATTTTTTTAATTTTATCATATTCTCCTTGAACATGACGGGAGACCGTGCGTCCACATGGCAGTATGTCTTGTGCCTCAGCGTTGTTTCCATACTTTGCTCCAATGTCGATTGCCTCCTGTATGACGTCGATGAAACCTTTCCCATCTACTACAGCAAATGGTCTCAAATCTACGCCGCACATGCGGGCTATTTTGTTGGTCATACGAGACTTGACTCCCGACGGTACTTTTCGTTTAATGAATGAAGAAATGCTTGGCTGATTCGTTCCGAAATTAGCCTTGCAAGTGTGCCTCTTCAGACCACTCGTCCCAGAGTCAGTGGCGTACTTTATTATAACTGAACATGTTTTGCAAGCAGCGTAGAGCGTCTTCACACCGTCACACTCGACTCTCATAAAGTTCTGAACTATTAGCGCCTTCCCTGACAGTTCTGTTAACCTAACAGATGCGTCATTATTCCTAACTTTGCGTTGCAAAATATTTTTTACCCTCTCGGTTTCTCCGCTGGCGTATGCTCCCTCCATGTTGTTAGTTGATACAGTAAACAAAGAGGTTGGAAAAGGCGGCCGGAAGTAGCTGCTGGAAAAGGCGCCGGAAGCTGTTGGCACAGCCGCCTGTCTGAAATTTATTATTTATTTTTTTTTGCCTATTTCTTTTTTTGTCCTATGTTGGCTCCCGCTCCCGTCTGCTCCCGTTAAGTTTTCCTCCTGTCCGGTCCCGATAACGGGAGTTATAATAAAGTTGACTCCGGTCCCGCCGGAATCCGGCCGGATTCACGTGACCGGCAGTACTCCCGAAAAAATGTCATCCTCTAGCATAGATGAGGCAGATGACATCCACAAGCCAATGGGAGAAGTGCTGTTTGGAAAGGATAGCCTAACCTAGGGCCTCTGTAACACAGAAAGCTGGTCTGAACATCGTATAATGGCAGTAACTGCAACGTATGCCTCCAGTGCTCTCACTAGGCACAATAATCCAGACCCCTCACCAGGTGTAGGCTGAAAACGTTGTGGAGTTTTATCAAACTTGTTGTTCAATAAAATTTAGAAGACTGAGAACTTTGTTTAAAAACACGTAGCAAAGTTTATTTCTCTTCTGCAGAAGGAGAACACATGAACGAAAACGCAGCTCAGTGAGTTCTATGTGTTCTACAAAAACATGAGCAGTACGGCTTCATTTATACACCTTCACATGTAACAGAACTTGC